AATTACTTATTTTATAAGTTTTTTTTAAATAGTATAAAAATAAAAATAAAGGATTAAAAGCTAAGAAAATAATAAGTTTTTAAGCAAAATACTTATAAGATAAACTATAAGCCTATATAATTCTATATAATTTTACTTATAATAAGTATAAGAAGTATTTCCTTTAAAAAAAAGCCCTAGTAGTTATACAAATAATATAATAGCTATAGGAATTACTTAGCCCGCGGACTCTTAGCCTTTGGATAATTCTACCCCTTGCACTAGCGCTCTAAAATGTAAGGGGTGACGTAGTATTTTACTGATACCATATCAGTATCAATCAGTAATCAGTACTGATTGATAACTGACTGCTTGTTGAGAAGTCTGTTCATGACTATACTAGTTGCATACTATTCACAATAAAGTATACAGTATGCAGTGACAGTGCAGGTGAGCGTTCCTAGAGAAACAGTCAAAGCGAATGTGGCATGCGCCGTCGCCAATGTGGCTACATTTTCTTCCCATGGCAGTTCAGGACCTTCAGGTCCCTCGTTGGGTGTTTCCACAAGATACTTCTTGCGCTTGAGGTCTGGTCGACTAGCGCCGCGCTCGTTCCGCCAGCCCTGACATTTGCAATGTGCCTGAATCTTTTGCAGCTGCCTCGCGATGGGTATTACCTACACTTTAGTCTATCCGTTTGCGGCCGTAATACGTGTGGAATATAGTTAACTGTAGGCGGCGGGAGCAGAAATTCTCTCAGACCAGCCTGATCCTGTTATGTGAGGAATTTTGGCAATAGCAGCTACTATTTTGTGACGTTCTCGTATGAGTCCTATCTTAGTGTCTCGATGTCGCACCCCCAGGTGTGTCGGCATATCCTGCGATACCACAACGTAGCCGCATTTCTGGCAGACAACGACTTAATACCTCTTTAAGAAGACAAAAGGCTCGATAAAATCTATTATTAAAGAGTTGTGGTTTCCACTCAAGTGAGTGTTAATTTGAGATCTGAAGTGTGATCAGTCTCTATCTTAATTGTCTAACCTTCGTCCGCAAACGACTGTTTTATCACATCTTTCTCCACCTTCTTTTTCTCATTCAAAGCGCATACGTTCGCGCCGCGCGGTGCGGCTGAATGACTTTCAATTTCTGTGTTATTCTATTGGCTTTGCTGCATCACAAAGTAGGCTTGCTAATTTCCAACTCTAAGCCCTGTCGCGTTTTCCAACCTTACCCCTTGTTTTTATGCGTCTTCCAGGGTTAGCAATCCAACTCTACTGCAGTTGCTATGGAGTGTATTTGTAGGGGTAAAGGCTGGACAAAAGGAACTCTTGGTATATTAAACGACCGAAGGAAAGACCAAGAATCGGAAGATGAAGGAAGAGATTAATCAACTATTCAATATACAACTTTCTCCGTGATACTGTAGTGCCACTGTATTTCTGACAAGTGGCCACGTGTATCCAAACCTTTACTCAACTCGGGTCATAAGCCAACATCTATCGTCGTTTTCAGGGGCTTGCTCTGAACATCTCTACATGACAGTGCACTGTACGCTTAACGCCAACGGGGCGAAGCCTTCTAGCTCGTACATGAAATTACCTGACGTATTGAGGTCCCTTGAGTTGGGCTCTTGCTGCGGCTCAGATGTCGGTACAATTGTGGACTGCCCTAGTTCTATTTCTTCGACTGTTCGAGCGCCATCTGTTTGCGAAGCCGGAATGGATACGCCGTTTTCCTGGAATGAAATTCTTAGCAGTGGACTAGTCAGTCAAGCTAACACTTGCGGCCATTTTGGCATACCGATATATCCTGCACGATGCTTGTTGCACACTGACACAGCCCCAGAATCCCAATGATGAAGGGAATGAGTTGCCCTGTGTTGCCCAATGTGTAAATCTCGCTAACGTTATTCCAATAGAGGGTAAGTTCTATTGCCAGTACGCTGTAAATAGAGGTGAAGGAAATGAAGCATACAACCGGAGATCGAGGAATCCTATCTTGGCTCGGGGGAATGCTCATTCGTCTTCGTGATTTTTCTCTGAGGGCTCACAGCATTTAGTAATTGCTCCGTCATGCCTATCCTGACTGTCTTGTGGAAGGGTTCATGCCTTTCTGCTTCGTCGTCTGGATTATATACAAGCCCCGTGAATCCGAATGTAACTGATCTCGGAGCCCTCATGAGCGTCTTGTAGATAGTAAGGAGCTTTGCAAGCGGATTTTGACGTAGGTGACGGGCTGCAATGGAACTTCCCACAAGCGACACGAGTACCGATTCCAAAAGTAAGTCTGGAAAGAAAACGAGGTACACAAACAGAATGAGACCTGTATAAATTCCAAAGAACACGGAGATGATTCCGTACACCACTCGAGCTGCCAACACGCCGCTATCTTCGAGGTGGGCCATGAGGAACATCGAACTTCCACACGGAGTCTCTGCAAACGAGTGGTTAAAGCCCCAGATCCAGAACCAGGAGTAGTATAGGAGGGCCATAGGCATGATGACTTGGTTCAATATTGCTTGGATTCTCATGCACATAAACATGCTCTTCTCCCGCGTGTCTCGTATCTGAGTGGGAGAGAAAGTGAAGCCAAAAGCAGTGAGATATCCGTTGATGATGAAGAGAAAGATCGGTAGGAATTCGATAGCGTATGTTTCCGGTCCTAGGAGCAGGAAAATGACAACCAGAAGCGTAACGTTGTAAACGAGAGCAGCGTTCATGGGGCCTCTTTCCTTACTTGGGTCTTTGAGAATTGCATTCAACAAGATGGAAGAGAGCCACTGCATGTAGATGCCGAGCCGGATGCCCAGGCCGTACATGTCAGAGTTGCCTTTAAAGCCACAGTTAGCGTTCTCCATACCGCTGCTTCGCTTGAAGTTTGTCAACCAAAAGAGACCTTCAACGGTGGATGAAATTACGAGGAAGAGTAGCACAGAATTAGCATTCAATTTTGGACTGCATGTCATAGTATTTTATGCACAAACCGTTCGACGGCAGGGAGTATGTCTCGATGCCGCTCGATAATGGAGTGCGATGAAGCTTTCTCGAATCCAGCTGCAAATTATCCTGCCATCGGATTAATGCGCCACCCAGCCCCCAGCAGCGCCGCAATGCCCAAACTCGTCCAGGCAATGTAATGTAATGTGTGCCACCTCGAATTGATACAGACGCCAACGCCTTAGGACGCCACCGCTTTGCCACTTCCTATTGGTTTAATTCTGCTATTGACCCACCGAAAAGTTTCAAAAAACCTTAACATTGAAACCGCCCAGGCCGCCCGAGACGGGCTATGGTCGGCGTATAAAGTTCGCGAACGCCAAGACACCGCCACGTCTAGAGGAGGCTGTATTTGTGCAGCTACGTTACGTTATAACTACTATATAACGTTCCTCCGGCTTTGGTCTGCGACTAATTCGTCCTGCCCCTAGAAGCGGTGGTTTTTTTTTATCAAGAACCATCACAAAGCTCTAGGCAGCAAAGAAGGCAACTGGACATGGGGTAAGTCCCATCACTGTCCTCAATCTACAGACCGCTGCATACGCGTTAGGGTCATTGATGTGTGTGTGTGTCTGGATTGCGGGGCTGGCCCTCTTGCAGTTGGAGTACTAATATCCCACCGTACGCCCAGGCGCCCAAGGATAAATGGGCGTCCGCGCGCTCATGTATGAGCGCCTGTACGGGATCGGTTATTAATAATGGGGCACAGAATATCAATGAATACAATCATCAATTTTTGACCTCGATAAAGGACCTAACCCGGGTAGTGATTCAAGTGGCGCATCGTGAAATCTAACAATCTGGGTTCGCTAGTCTATTTGGGCTCCTCGCCGGGACCCGTGTAATCCGTAAAATCACAGGTCCCCATGAACCTATTGGCTCCCTGTCAGCTCGATAACTTCATACGATGCGGAGAACCAATGTAGAAATTTTACTCCTTAGATGCAAACCTACCCCTGTGACAGCAAGTAGCTGGATCACGCAGGGGGTTGTGAGAGCTGGCGCTAAAGTTAGCCATGTGGACTGATAATGTGCCTCCCATTCTGGTGTCTGTCCATAGCGCTCTTAGCAATTGAACACTTCCCTGATACCAAGTGCTCAAGTCCTTTCCATGTAGTCTTTGAGTAGCTGGGTTAAGCGGGCGTTGTGGTGAGCATCCTCAGTTCCCAAGTTTCGGCCAAATTGTATCAGTACCTCATCCTCAACTTCCAAAGACCCTTCACTATTGGGCCCAAAGACCGGGTATGCCGCCTTGTCATCTAATACAAAGCACTAGCGTATTGCACAGCTTAAAAAGGCCTCTTTCCGCATGGCGTTACCGATATATTCAACTATCGTGTGATAAAATTCGCCTAGCGTACCAGATATTTTCGCAGCCCGTTACCTCCGTAGTCGCAAGTCGAAAGACGAAGGCAGAGGATGCCTGTGATAGCTGTCCATGCAAGACACAATGCGGGCATGGTTCTGGTGGCAAGGTGATCTCAGACGACAACTCCGTTGTTATTCCAGGTGACATAGCGCAGAGACTTGAGCAGTATTGCAACTGGGCCGTGGCACGAACCAAAGGCGATACATGGAGGTCAGAGCTGGAAAAGGTACTTAGTTTGCAATGGATTACTTCCTGGAGCTGAACTCTGTACTGCAGCACCCTAAAGCCGCCTCCGATTTAATAATAAGCGTGCTGTGAAACCGGGGATTGCATTGCAATTTGACAATGAACTATATAGTCAGGTGCAGTCCAGCGCAGTAGGTTAGGGCCAGGTAAGTTAGGAAGGGCAATACCACAGTATTAAAGTCACGAATTATAGCTACTATATATATACCTTATAAACTATTTAATTACTATTATTTTTTATAGTACTAGGTTTTAATATTATTTTATTATTAACTAGTATATTTATATAGTTTTTATATTATTTAATATATATTTTACTTTATATATTTATATTATACTAAATAAATT